CCAATGTAAACATGAAACATATGCCATTACCTATATTGTACTGTGGTACAGTTATGGAGGCTCTTCATAATGCAGAGGACAACTGCCTGATCTGCCAATAGTTAGAAATGGCTCTATAGTAAGCAGTTTAATAAACAGCTGTTTTTCTAAATTCTGCTGAGGTGAAATTCAGTGCAGTCATGTATCGTGATACGCATCGTATCGTGGCATTTGTATCTTGATAAGTATCGTATCGTGACTTTGCTGGTGATACACAGCCCTATACGGCAGTTAACAGTTTACATCAAATCGCCGTTGCCGTTCCATCAGCTGTTGTTGCTTAAAGTCCCTATTATGAATCCAAACAAAGATGCTGAATACATCCAGCATGAGCAGTTTTTATAAATTAGATTGTATAATTTGAAATTTTAAAACAAAAACAGAATGCTCTGACTTTAGTTTTCTGAAACTATACTACATAAAACATCTGCACGAAACACAGAGCAGAAGCTCTGAATGAGACACAGATTCACTCTGACAGCAGGAGGCGCTTCTGGAACAGTACTGATACAGCGTTTCTTTGGTTAACGCTGTAAACAAAGCAGCGCAGCACTTATAAACGCTGCTTTAATATGCATTATACAGAGACGAGATGAAAAGAAAATACCACGTAAACTTTTCTGAAGACAGTCAGTTCCCCTCAGAAACATATTCATGTAAACCCTTAAAATCAATATTGAGGATTTTCTTCCAATATTCCATGCATCATGAACAGTGAGTGATCTACCTGCTACAGTATTTTTCTCTGTGCGTCCGTCTTCAGCATCTCTGGCCCGTGTTAATGGGCGTTTACAGACTTCATATTTACACATAAATGACATTTTGGAAAATGATTGCATTGCAACGCAGTTTGTGCAAGTCCAGAACAGAGACGAGTTGCAATAAGACAAAAAACGTCCAGTTGCCGATCACGCAAGTTCCAGGGGCAGCTCCAAAAAATTCTGGCATTAATTACTCACCCTCATGTTGTTTCAAAACCCGTAAGACCTTCGTTCATCTTCGGAACACAAATTAAGATATTTTTGATGGAATCTGAGAGCTGTCTGACCCTGCATAGACAGCAATGCAACTGAAATATTCCCAAGTCCAGAAACGTAGCAAGGAGATCTGTAAAATAATCAATGTGACATCAGTGGTTCAACCGCAATTATACAAAGATACGAGAATACTTTTTGTGCGCAAAAAAAAAAAAGTGCGTCTCCTCCGCATCATCCTGTAGCGCCATTTTGGAGAGTATCAGCTGGACAAAAAGTATTCTCGTAGCTTCGCGTAAGACCTCCGTTCATCTTCAGAACACAAATTAAGATATTTTTGATGAAATGTGAGAGCTCTCAGACTCTGCATAAACAGCAGCGCAACTGTAATGTTCCCAGGTCCAGAAACGTAGTAAGGAGATCTGTAAAATAATCCATGTGACATCAGTGGTTCAACCGCAATTATACAAATCTAAGAGAATACTTTTTGTGTGCAAAAAAACCCCCAAAAAACGACTTTATTCAACAATTCGTCTCCTCCGCATCTCCCTGGTGCCATTTTGGAGAATATCCACTGGACATAAACAATAAAGACGAATTGTTAAATAAAGTTGTTATTTTATTTTTATTTTATTCTCCTTGCTACGTTTCTTGACTTGGGAGCATTTCAGTTGCGTTGCTGTCTATGCATGGTCAGACAGCTCTCAGATTCCATCAAAAATATCTTAATTTGTGTTCCAAAGATGAACGGAGGTCTTGCGGGTTTGAAACGAAATGAGGGTGAGTAATTAATGACAGAATTTTCATTTTTGGGTGAACTAACCCTTTAAGTTCGGCCATCCTACACACACGTGACTGACCGTGCTCGCACCAACAGGAGGAGGAGGGTCGTGTTACTCTCTTCACTGCACTCAACCTGAGGGATTCCTACACTTTCAGTCTTTGAGGAGACATGAAAAACAGTGCATACCGCAGGAATGGTATAACAGAAAATATTAGTGGTTTTGAAACTGTGAAATGTGACATTTTCAAATCGCGGTATACCTTGAAACCGGTAATCGGCCCATGCCTAGTAGTAGTAAAACCTTTTGCCCTTCCGGGTCAAACACCTACCTACAGCAGTAGGAAGGCAACCTATATACACTGAAATCTCTGTAATGTTCACAGCACCACTCAATAGTCAAAATGAGAATAACACATCACCTTTTTAAACACGTTTTGGCTCCTACACTTTACGTTAAAGTTCCCACCATCGAATCTATTTTCATATTCACAAACGGCCTCTAGAAACACTATACTGCCAAACACAAAGTTAGGTTAAATTGTGAATGAAATACAGTACATTGCAACAGCAGTATAAATCCCATTAATTTTCTCCAAATTGAAACCTGTAGACCTTTCAAGATGAACCTACCATGGACTCTGTGGTCCTTAAGTGAGGATATATGCTTCTATAGATGCCACAAATTATGTGTGATTTCAAGGAAAATTCTTTACAAAAATTGTGTATAATAACCAAATCCCCATAACTGTTTAATAACTACATTAGCCATAATCAGATAACCCATACCCATATACAGTATATACATATTTTCTGTTGACTGACATTTCAGAGACTTTAAATATATTCATTTCATTCCATTGTTTCTGTCTTCATATTTCCTCTGTTTATTTCCTGTTCTCTTGGTTTCCTTGGTTCTGGTATATGCTGTTTATTTGTAATACATTGTATTTGGGAGTTACTCATCTGGTTTATCTTATTGTTTCATTTAAAAAAAAAAACAACCTACAATTAGACCATCAACTTCACTCCTTTCACCCCAGCACACCCCATTTATGTATTTTTTGCTCCTAATTGTTTTCTCCTAATTAATTTCTTCCTTCCGTATCCAAAGTAAATGTAACTGGGTAATGTGTTGGGGTTGTGGGATATTAACTCTTCAACAATGCACCTCAAGCAACATAGCCACATGTGTAACAGAGTGACTCATTGAACCCTAAACTGGGTTGTCTGCCTCTGTTCCACTGTTGCTGAGGCATCTGCTCATCAGCTGATGTGCCATGTGGTGTTCCTTTATCACACACTGGCACTGCACAGGTGACTGAGCTTTTATTAAACCATCAGCACCAAGAAGCACAGATAGACATGGTCACTGGAAATCTTGCAATACTGTTACAAATAGTAGACACACTGGGTAAAAATTAAACTCTGGACAGAAGGAAAGCAATATGGGTTGAAATAACATGAAGTATGACACATTTTCAGAAACGAATCCTTAAAGACAGGGAGAGAGCTGAGGAGGAGACAAACTAGAATGGAAAAAAATGCCCTATGACATTTAGACATGAGAACGGATAAAAAAGCTTTGAAGGATAGAGATGTGAAGGATTCACTCAAGCAGACATGGATTTATGTCAGATAAGGACAGAATGACAGTCAGCTCTAAACAGAATAGAAAGGCAGGAGTTCAGGGTGGTTTTGTGTGTGTGCATGTTTATCTGCACCTTCAGACTCTCTGTACTGTTCTTCATGCTGCCACCCTCAGGACTTTTGTGTTGCTTGTCACCACTGAAACACAAGGCGTCAAAACAAAGAACCCCACCAACACAATCTGCGACCAGGCACACCTGAAACAAGCACATAGCACAATATAAGCAGCAGAGAGACAACCTATATTCCCATATAATCATTATACTTTTAAAACATATAAACAAAGTTTGTGGTGTTCTCTACATTTCCTTTTTTAAGAAAAACTGAAATATACTTTACATTTAAAGTATAAAATACTTAAAATTTTAAGTATAAATTTAAAAATTAAATTTTCTCATTATCAGGCTATCAAAGATGTCCCAAATTCCCTTGTAGTTAAGGCCTGTGCTGATGCACAAACACAAGATTTGGCCACCATTTTGCCTACAAGGTTGAGTGGAGATGCTTTACCTTACTGGCTCTCCCTGTCTCCTGACATAAAACAGAACTATGAACTGTGTGTTGCTGCATTAAATTATGTTTTTGGGAGGAAACCATTTTTGCTGGATTTTCAAACTTTTGTGAACGCCCGACCACATATGCCCAAAGAATTTGCTGAACATTTACTCATCATCAGGCTAACAAAGAGTTTGTTCCCTTTCAGTCGGTCACTCTCGACGTCACGTCGGATGACCGACGAATTGGGATCTCGCTTAGAGAGACCAATCTACTTCGAGTGTAAACTAAACGAGCCAATGCACATTGGCATGCGATTATTGCATCCAGCTGCTGCTGATCACAGCGTGAGTATAAGTAGGCAGCAGATGCAGCGCATATTCAGCTTTTCGCTTCGGAGCCGAGCGGTTCTATCGTTCTGCTCCTGACCTTCTACAGTAGTACAAACTACAGCTTGGGACCTGACTCTAGTGCTCACGGCACTACAGCAGGGCCCATTTGAGCCTTTGCAGACGGTTGAGCTGAAGTTCTTTTCGATGAAGACTTTGCTCCTGCTGTCATTGGCCTCCATCAAGAGGGTAGGGGACCTGCATGCATTTTCGGTCAACGATTCGTGCCTGGAGTTCGGGCGTCACCGGCTCGGCTCCTCAGCGAAAACCTGAATATGCGCTGCATCTGCTGCCTACTTATACTCACGCTGTGATCAGCAGCAGCTGGATGCAATAATCGCATGCCAATGTGCATTGGCTCGTTTAGTTTACACTCGAAGTAGATTGGTCTCTCTAAGCGAGATCCCAATTCGTCGGTCATCCGACATGACGTCTCCGTTCCCTCCTTCAGGGGACGAGGGTTACCATATGTAACCGAGACGTTTCTTAGTCAGAACAGATTCACAAAAATTTTGCTTTGCACCATTTGCTCACCAATGAATCCATCGATAGGACGTTTTAATTTACGCCATTGCTTCTGGCCAAAATATGAGTCCATATTCCATAATAGTGTAACTTTATGTGAATTCATTATTTTATTTCACTTTTTGTCAATTTATGGTTTAGAAAGATATTTTGTGCACCTGCCCTTGTCTGATTAAAAGAAGAAACATGAATTATCACCCTGGTAACCTGTGTTTTATTTATATTATCCACGCAGAAGAGACTGGAGCATTCGCAGCTGAAAATAAAGGTTACAGACTGGCAGCAGTTTCTAGAAGTTTCTTAGTTTAGAACTGAGACATTTTTTATTGCACCCTGAAACGTCCTGGTGAGTGCACAGTGAAAAGTCGTCAGTTTAATTGAAGTGGATGACTTTACCACTTGCTTCGTTACAAGTTAAACAGCAACTACTTAGTGAAAATGTCTACCAATTCTCGCATGCTTCCCGCATGTGCTTTGTCCCCTAATGGTAGTGCCGATGATGAATCTGCACCTACAGTGGAACGCAAAGAGTTCAACACAAAGTGCTGATGCACAAACGCACGATTTGGCCATCATTTTGTCTATGAGGTTGAGTGGAGATGCTTTAACTTACTGGCTCTCCCTGTCTCCTGACATACAACAGAACTATGAACTGTGTGTTGATGCATTAAATTATGTTTTTGGGAGGAAACAATTTTTGCTGCATTTTAAAACTTTTGTGTATTTGCAGCAGAGATCACAAACTAGTTTTGGAAGCATTTCCAAATTATGGTGAGTCCATCATTGTCATGGATAGATTTAGACGGTTCGTAGCTGGTCTTGACCCTGTTCTCCAAGCAAAATGTCATGAACATGGCGCTACTAACCTAGAGGACCCTGCAAATAAGCCTGCTGTGGGCTAGCCTAAGGGCCCCCAGCGGGCTACCAGCGCTCATTGGCAAAACGTTGGACCTTTAGCGCTGGCCCTGCACGGGCAGCCCTCACTTAGCCCCAGGAAGCCCTCACTATGCCCACCCAGGGCCCGCACTATTCATCTACAACAATAAATCTGTTTAATAAATAACAATAAATACTTTTTAGCTACTGTAATTTAAGTCTTTGGGAAAAACAGATATTATATATCTGAAATGGATGCAGTCACCACATAACTAATGTCTGTATTGTCAAAAATGTACAGTAGTCAAAGGGATTTCAAATCAATGGATTTATTAAATACAAAATAGAAAACATTAAATTCAGGTTAATACAGCTAATTTAACACTCTGAAAGGGACTACATATTATCTATACAAATATAAAAAATACTACAAGAGAGTGTCCGCAGGGTCTTAAAAAGTATTACAAGTTGATAAATCAATTTAGAGAAAATTAAGACCCTTAAAAAGTATTTAAAAGTCTTAAATGCCATTTTCCAAGGTTTTAAATTTTGTATCATCTTTTCATTATGTATATTTGTCCGAATAGTGGGGTTCTGTGTAGTTTATTTATGGAATACCGTAAGACTTGACGTCATCTGTTACGGTGCTCACTGACTGACTGTGCACCTGCATGATAGCGTGGAGCTTGTTGATCCCGCTCTCACTGAATTTCTGACCATTACCGCATGCTCCCATCCGCTCCTGCGATTTTTGTGTCTGCTCCCGCAAACATTCTAATATTGTATATAATTTTAGCGCATCAGGGTGCCACTAGAGTTCTTACTAGAACCAGGAAGTATGACCATATTTGCCCGGTTCTGTCAACACTGCACTGGCTACCTATTAAACATCGTACAGATTTTAAAATCTTGCTTATTACTTATAAAGCCCTGAATGGTTTAGCACCTCAGTATTTGAACGAGCTCTTGTTACATTATAGTCCTCCACGTCCGCTGCGTTCTCAAAACTCTGGCCATTTGATAATACCTAGAATATCAAAATCAACTGCGGGCGGCAGATCCTTTTCCTATTTAACGCCCAAACTCTGGAATAACCTACCTAACATTGTTCGGGAGGCAGACACACTCTGTCAGTTTAAATCTAGATTAAAGAC